GGTGGGTTGGTATATTGTCCTACATTTTGTGTAAATGTAACAATAATCTACTAAATTTTTGCAAAACATTTCAAATACTATATATATATATATATATGTGTATACTGTATTTGTTATACTGTATACATATTATACTGTATTTTAAAAAAGTGTGTCTATATATACTATTTTGTCCCTCAATCCATCCTCAAAGCTGCACAATCCCAACCGACATCGGGCAAGAGACGGTGGACACCCTGGACTGGAGAGACACAAAAGCATTGACACTCCACTCACATTCGCACACACCTACAGAAAATTGTGTGTACATTTATCAATATTGAGATTGATCTGACCCTGTAAAAAAGGGTTTTGCCATGATTGTTATTAAATTGTAAACCAACTAGAGGAAACAACTGGGACTATGATAATGGATCATCTATTTTCTTTCTAACTTACCTGTTACTTATTTGGGCTTCCATACACATACATCTCAACATATTTATATGAAGATTAGAAGGCTTAATTCCTTCGAAGATATCTTCAGGCTTCATTATTTCCATTCCTAAACATTTTTATTTGGCACTGCAAACGGTAAAAGCAATGAAATGTAATTCAAAATAAAATTGAAAAAAAAGTCAATTCAAATTTAGTGAAATATTTTATACAATTTATTTTCTCATTCACAGAATGTGTTGAATCCCACTTAAACAGGTCTTATTCAATGGGATTCAGTAGAAGTTATCCTAATAGATTTAATTTAAAAAATCAGGAAGGACAGTGTGATAGATGTGCACAGAATGAACAACATAAGAAATTTACAATACGCTCAATGCATATGACCTTTAATATACAACAAAAAAAAAAACATGCAACGGCCTTAATCCAATATGACGACGGTGAACACGTCGTCAATTAGCTGAACTCCGTGCTTCGTGGGTGATGTCACAATGACTACGTCCACTTCTCATATACAATCTGTGACAAGCACTGGCATTTTCTTGAACCTTAGCCTCCTCTGTCCTTGGTCCAGCCTCCTTCTCGGGCTCATTCAATTAGAGCAGTGGTTCTTCACCTTAATAGAGCTACTGAACTCTGCAAGCTTCATCAGGGCATTCACCGACCCCTCCCTTATTGATAAAGTAAAATATAATTTCTTCAAAACATAGATATATTAGTGCACAAAATAAAATACTTCAATTGCACATTCTTTAATAAAAGAAAAGGTGTTGTGCTCAGAAGAACATCTCAACTGAGGAGCCGCTGGTTTCTGCAATCAACAGGCCACAGAGCAGCCCATTCATTACCCTATAGTGACTGTATCTTGCTTCCATCAACAAATTCCTAGAACAATGTATTTATACAGTTCAGTAAAGGCGTGAAAAGTTAGTGTCCACGCCCCTGGGCATGTGACCCCTGAAACATAAAACTGTCATTAAAAACATAAAATGAATGAAATTAGTAGTTTAAGATCACCAAAATGGTCAATTAAAGGCAGCTGCAAACGGAAAAGTATTTAATCTGGTTTTAAAAGAGCTGAGGGACTCAGCGGACATACAGATCTAGATACGTGGAACAGTAAAAACAGCCTGGATGACCGCTAGAGGCAGTGCTTAACACTGGATTATCTTCAGTCCCCACCGGGCCACGTGAGAGAAGGTAAGCAGAGTCCTGTCCAGTATTTTACACCCTGCAATTACAGAAGGAAAGGGAGGCAGTAACACACCCTGCAAGCACCCGTGGAGAGGGTCCGGATGAAAGCCCTCCGGACAGTAAGTGAAGAAGCTGCCTGTGGTGATGCACCCTGGAACACCCCCCCCCCCCCCCCCGCCCCCCGTCGCCTCTCGGGGATTATTTCTGGTCAGTTTGCGTGCATCGCATATTCGTGCTAAACGTAACAGAGGCGTGGTTTATCATCCTCAATAGTTTAACGTTCTGCCATTTTTCTTTCCTCTTTTCCTCCATCAACCATGCAAGACATAGTGATCCTGTACCCATTATGGAAGAACTGGCGTCGGACCACCAAACGCCGTCGTGTTTGGCTCCACAATATCATCCGTAGGCGCAGACAGTTCAATGAATTTCACCAACTCCAGTCCAGGGTCTGGGCCCGGATTTCTCACCTGGACAACTACAGGCGTACCATTTCAGCTGTGGAGCACCTGTCTCGGTGAGTCGCAGTTTAATAAAATGAATTCATGAAAGCCTGACATTAATGAGGCTTTGTATGTAACTATAAATGTAATGCAGGAGTCTTCAACGTTTTTCAGGCCAAGGTCCCCCAAACTGGTGGTGCGATGGAGCAGGGACCCCCTATTCTACAGAGTTTGGTCCGCCATCTTTTATTTTTGAGCTTCACTCTCTTTAGACGTGAGCATAAACGCGATCTGGCTAGTGCCTGTGCGGTCGTATTTGCATGAAAGGTGCTGTGAATGAACCGGTGCCCACAGGAGCTCTGTGGGTAGCTGAAAATGTGTTTTGCAGACTGAAAGATAACGACTTCTCCATCAATTTATCCATTCGTTACAATATGTTGGATTCATGTGAATGTGTATTTAAAGACAATAAATACAATTTTGATTCTGTACACTTTTAAATTTGTGGAAAAATAAATTGTCTAATTAACCAAAAATTTTGCGACCCCCCTGCAGTGTTCTCATTACATCAGAGGTCTTCGACTGCCTGTTGAAGACCTCTGATGTAATGTTTTTCTGTGCTGCGGACTCATTCAGGACGATTGCCAACAGCTTCCGTGTTGGGGCCTCCACTGTCTCCAGTATTGTCCCAGATGTTGCCACAGCTATTTGGGACTGCCTTGTGGAGGAGTTCATGGCTGTGCCCACCACAGAGGACTGGAGGTCAATTGCTGTGCAGTTTAGAATTTTCCTCTATGCTGTGGAATACTGGATGGTAAGCATGTTGTCCTCCAATCCACCTGCTAATTCCGAATCCCAGTTCTACCAATAAGGGAACCTTCTCATTAGTTCTCCTGGCTCATCCTACCTTGACGGCTGCACCTACCGGTTGACCTGGAGAGGATCTGTGTCGGAACCTTGTCCTCTTACTACTGGAGTTCCTCAGGGTTCCGTCCTCAGTCGCCTCCTCTTCTCGCTCTACACAAACTCTCTCGGCTCTGTCATTCGCTTGCATGGCTTCTCCTACCACCGCTATGCCGATGACACCCAAACTAATTCCTCCTCCTTCCGTCACTCAAACACTCAGGGTGGCGGGCACGGATCTCGTGCTGAATCTTTAATCTCCTCCTGGTGGGAGAGGGCCACTGCATTGTCAGAGCTGACTGAGTTTAACAGATCAAAAAAGACTTCACAACTTCAGACTCTTAACACAGATTCTTGTATGCACTATGATGTTTTTCACCATAGGATGGTGTGCCACGATGTCCATCTTCTCTCTCATGTTAGAGACCATATATTTCGGAAAGCAGTATTTGGGTATTCATGCCGCATATCGTTCCGCCATTTTTAATAGCATAGTCCCCAACGAACCTAAATTGTTGTTCCAAAGGCCCACTTTTACTGCGGTCTTTTACGTTCACATTTACTTTCAGTCTGTTTTGAGTCCAAGTGGTATTGTTCCCACACCGCCCATTCACTTTCATCCATGTTCACTTTCAGTCGGTGGAATTTTGTTTCCAAGACTGTAATCTTCTGCAGGAGTTTGTAGTAGTTGCCTGTGAAGAAGGGAGGCATCCTGCTGCTACGTAGCTTTAGCGTAGCTGAAGGTCCGTATCTGGTCCTCACACCAAGTAAATAAGCACTTAAAGCAGGACTTTTAAATGTAATAAAACATCAACTAACTCAACTAACAATATTTGGCTGCTACTAATAATTTAGAAGATAAATTATACGTGATAAAATCACTTCCTAGTTCCTGCGGAGCCAAACCGAGGTAGAACCAAGTTACAACTGGACAATTCAGTACACAAACAAATATAATAATGCTTTAAACCATTCAAAACATTCTTGTCTTGGTTACAATCTCCACTTATCTATTTGAAAATGCTCAACACAAATCAAGTATTAAAAGATTTAGAAAATATCTAAAATATATCACAAATGTGTCCAGAAATGAAATATACGGCTGTTCACTTATCGGTCAAAGCTAGAAGCTTACAAACAGACTGTACTAGTAGCATTGTTCTTTCAACCACTGAAAGCGCTTTAGGACTACCTTACATTACATGTCATTTAGCTGACGCTTTTATCCAAAGCGACTTTGGATGTTGTGGTTGACATATCATTCAACCACAAAAACCACTATGTACTAGCTAATGTAGTTGTAGTTAATTCGCCATCACACGCGTCTCGCATCATTCGCTCTTGAAAAGGGGCGTGGCTTATCTTTGTTACTTTTTCGTCAAAAGTTGGCGAAAAAGCAATTCATTTGCTTCGATCTTTTTTTTTTTTTGCATCCTCCGCGTCGCTTATTTGGCGTCCTCCACGCTGTCCTTTGAAAATTTGCTTCTTCCGCAACCAGTCTTGTCTGTGCATTGACTTTGCATTGGATCTACTCGCGCGAATAATTAGCTTTGCTTTTGGTGTGAACGCAGCATTAAGCCTAGTTTATGCTTCTGCGAATGGATCAGATTGAAGAGCTTTTGTCGGAATAAATCCGTAAATATGACCCTCCACCACCCCCCGCCCCTGTCGGTTGCCACCAGATGTTTTCACCACTTTAGGTCCAAAGCTGCATTCTACTCTGTTAGCCTCCCAGAAAGTTCTCAGAGTAGTAGATTACCAATTTCACATCTTTTTCATCAACTAAAAGTACAGAAGAAGATTTTCTGAAATTAGATTAAAAGAAATCGTTTTCAAGGATATCTGAATTACTTTACTGCCTAATAAAGCTTTTTTTAAGTTTTAAGCTTCCATTAGACTTTTTAGGCGACAAATATCTCAACTTTATTTTGAGAAAGAAAAGCTTGTTTGCATGATTTTCTTGAGTAACTGCCTCTGAATAGCAGATTTTCCCACAATCTGATAAAACCAAACACGCTAGAGTGATTATTCCCAGGAGGCAGGTAGAGTGCAATATGCCTCCCGATGAGGACAAACAATTATTTTAATGAGAAAATCAAAACATCAGACAAACCCGAAAGAAAGGAAATTAATGATGGTGAGGCTAAGATAGAAGATAGAAGTTCTTGTTATTCAACGTCCCCTTTGTTCAATTTAGGGGCAGTAATAAATGACCAATCATCACAACCAAACTAAGAACATAAACAGAATATGTACAAACATTTTAAATCAGAACAAGTGAAGTAAGTGATCTACTGTATGTATAACAAAAAATGATATTGGTGTCAAAGGTAGCATTAGTAATCTTAAGACCTTTACAGCAAGAAACTTTTGATTGAGAGTCTGTGGACTTTTTAAGATGTTTTGTTTGGTTCATATCGACAGTATTCTTACATCGTAGCATAATCAGACAAAGAAAAACACTTCATCAAAAACAATAACCAATGTTTACATTAACTGAATAAACTTGTGTATCAAATATATGCATAAACAGTCACTGTGTGAGTCTTTAAGAGAAATGATTTCCAGTTAACCAGTTAAGACCATAAAATGATCTTGTATGTAACTTTCTAAAGAAATTATATGAATGGATACATGCTACAATGGAAAGGGAACGGAGCAAACATATTTGATTCAAAATGCATTTTGGTAGTAGTTTAAAACACTCATACTCATACTCATGTCAAAGGGAACATGGACAAAGTAGAGATTGTTATTATTTTAACCTGTAGATACAACAAACCAAACCTTAAAGCGGGCACTTTGCCTAATATAGGCTGATACAGTTAAATACATGAGCTAGACATCCCTACAAAAGGGCATTTGGGTCCAGGAGAGTCCATTTTGACCTCTGACCCAGAACGTTTTGGGCAGTACGATGAAGGGACATGGTCTAATTAGAAATGAATCATCTTGACAACTGGAAGTATTACTGTGTAGATCATTCTTTTCTGAATTTTAAGCACCATGGGCCAGACGATGAGCTCCATCAAAAAGGTTTTTGTCTCTGAAGTTCACTTAGAAACCTCTAGAAATGTGAGTGATAAACAGTACAAGAACACAAACGCTGTAGGATAAAAAAGGAACATTGCTCTGTGAACATACAGTATATTCCAGAGAAACTGTGACTTTAAGTGCAACAATGCCATCTAGTGTTTTCATGCTAACACTGTCATATGCAAATTGTCCAGCGTATCCTTCCGTTTGGAGACCATTATTGCAACGCAAAGAGAATAGAACAAGAAATAAGTTAAAGATGTTTTTTTCTAATATTCACTATTTTATGCATACTACTCTTAATGCTTGAAAAATTATCGTAGTGCACTACCTCCACTACCCAATTTCAGTAGCAATGACCTCTTGGTATTGGGTGGCTCTAGCCTCTGGGACTGTTGATATTACTGGAAACCAGTGTAGTTAGTCACAGTTGTTGACTGTCTGCAAGTGATAGATCGTACACACAGATTTTTTTTCTTTTCAAATCACAGATAAGAGAGTGTCACAAGTGTGTGTTGCCATCAATACCTTCACATTCTGCAACAAGCCTCCACCTCAAAAATAAAAAACAAAACAAAATCACGTTATAGCTGGAGGTGAAGGGTTCTGGAGGCCATGGTGTGGAGGTAAAAAGGAAGAAGTAGAGGAGAGAGAAAGAGGAAGGCTGAGGGGAGTCCTATGTCTGTTCGCCAACTCTGCTAGTCTAGCTCGTTAGCATTGCCATGGCAGCCATCAGCTGGTCAAGTAACTGTGTAGTTCTCTGGAGTTAATGCTCAGGACAACACCGGAATGACTACCTGGCAACAAGATGCATGGAGACAAAGAACAGGGATAAAGTCATTAAAACACTGATATCAGATACAACAGATATCAACAACTGACGAGACTTATATTAAATCTATTCATATGAGCAATGGTAACAAATAAAACGTGTGACACACTGAAGAGAAATATTTCACATTTTTATATTAACAGCAAAATGTTTTTTTTGCTCCTTTCTCTTTTTTGCTCTGGCAACTTCAATGTGCTCTGCACATGCAGGTGATGCCTTTTGATATTGAATGCTAAAAAGATTTGATGAGTTTTGAGCACAAAGTATATGATTTTAAACAATGATGACAGAAGTAAGGGGAACTCCTCCACTACCTTAGTGTGTGTTGGCTTCTGCTGTTAGTGATTGGGGTTTTAGTAGCAGTGGTTAGTGGAGGTCCTTAAAAGGGTACGGAAGGCGGTGCCACCTCCTACCTAGAGTCTGCGAGTCCAGGTCATCGTCAATGAACTCCTCACCCTGGATGATATTCTGGGTGGCCTCACTGTGATTAACAGGGCTGGTCATCTCCTGCTCCTTCTCGTTGTGCATCTGAGCGTAAACGTTGCGGCTACCCGGGAGCTTTCTGAAAAACAGCAGGGGAAAGGAATCCTCAGTCCAAAGCCAAGGACTGTGGGATTTGTAGATTTCTTAAAACATGGTCATGTTTTGCACACACATTTAAATCATTTCTCAAACTCATTTAGTCTTCAAATTATTTTAAAATTAAAATCAAAGTTTTAGTTATCCAGCAAATTAAGTGCAAATCTGAAAGGATATTGATACAAACCCCTAACCCTCTCCTGTTGTAAGGGGTGGAGAGTTGGACTCAAGCCCAGGAACCAGAATTAAGTTCCAAAACAAATGAAATGCCTAATGAGCTTGGAAATTATTATTGGAAACAATAAAATATAGGGTGAGAAAAGACCACCAGGGACCCAGTAATGAGAATGCCTGGCCATTGAAATAAAACAATAGGTGACAAGGGATACACATGGTTTAAATACACTGGGTAGTGTGAGGGGGGTATTAAACACAGGAGGATTAAATCAAGGCACAGACAACCATACAAGTGGGAAAAAATACAAAAGGCAGTAAGTGAAGTGAAAACTAACTACAAGAAAAAATAAGACCTTGACTTGATCATCACAAATTATTCTGATATTGTTGTTTATAATTAAATGGGCCTATTGTTTGCGCAGTGAACTGAAGTTAGTGCTGCCTTCATATGATTAAGAGGGATTTGATTTACATTTTATTTGCCATTCTGTTGAGTAGTGTTCATAGTGTTAGACAAAAATCATCAAATGCAGTGGGGAATCTTTCTAGTCCAAGGATTTCATTGTTTACATGACAAATCATTAATATGGATTACCTTTTGAACTTGTAAAGGATGATGGAACCGGTGGCAATGATGCTGATTGCAAAAGTCACTGCTAGGGCCCAAAAACCTGGACTTCCAAATGTTGCATGGTAGCCTAGGAAAATGAGGTACAAAAAACAAATCAGTAAAAATGCATAATATGAATGAACTGAACAATATTCCTCACACAAAACAGGATTACACACAGCAGAGCATAGAGAAGAAATATTTAAACTGTCTAGGATATTTTGTTGGCAAACCAGCCAAGGAAAGGCACAGGAATCAAAAGGCATCAGAGTTAAGCATTTCAACAGAAAGCGAAGGGTGTATGATTAATGAATTTATTGCCATAGCTTCTGCATCTGTAGAAAACATGCAAAAATATAGTTTTGAAAAGCAGTTAAAAAAAGTAATACACCTTACCTGCGTTTGGGTCAGCTAGCATCACCAGCACTCGTAAACCTCCACGCACAACAAAGCTGACATTGTTGCCGTTGAAGGCTTGTATGATGGCTGGAATACGCTATGGATAAGAAAATACAAAATAATTGGCATATACTAAAATAAACAGACACATTACACTAATCCTACAGCTACAACCTCCCATCATATTCCAGACAACCGACTTATGTCCTTTCAATCTCTAACTATGAGGGTTTCTTCAGTGTGCGTCCATGTTAATACATAAAGTAGCCCTCGCACTACTGTTTATCAGTGAAAGCAACACAATTATTAACAGGTCAGTGTGTTGTGTGTATTGACAGTACAGAGACAAAAAATTAAATTGACCGCGGAAACGAAATGGCCGCTAGCTGCAGTCAGTTACATTAGAGAAAGACGGAGAGAGCTTTTTGCATTGGAACAAGTAAAACAAACACAGGCGCGACATGCAGCACAGAACTGTGTAGAGGAATTCCTCCACGTCTCGAACAGAAGGGGAGTGAGTGGCAAACAGACCACTTAAGGCCACTTATGCTAAACTAGAGTTGCTAGTTTAGCATGTTCCACTCGGTGGAATTCTGCCTCCAAGATCACAAATGTGTGTTTTACTCATTATTTATAAGATCTAGTCTTTAGAAGAAAAACAAACATTCATTAAGAACAACATTGTAATAACAACAACATTCATTAATCGCCATTAATCGAGATTAATGAATTTCAAAATGTGCAATTAATTAGTTAAATTTTTTTAAATCTATTGAAAGCCCTAATTACTTGATATGCTTTTCTGGAAATGTGTATGTACCTTATCTGTAAACATGTTCATTTTAGCTGGTTCCCTGTCCAGTGGCAGGACATACAAGTCAGCAGTCGTGGGGAGGCCTGGCTTCACAACCGTGACCAGGGACTCCAAAGGAATACCTGTGGTCTGAGATCAGATGGGAAAGGGTAAGTCGGAACTCAGTAAAGCTGCACTAAACAATATCCACATTTTAATAAAGAAATTAATCAATGACTATGGGTGATCTGAAAGGGCTCATTGTAGTTACCCTAAACCCACAAGTAATTACCCTGAACTCTGCAATTCCCCTGCAAATGCTTGAATACTTACTTTTGCATCAATCTAACATGATGTTTCACAATGTTATTCTAAACTTAATTAAATATTTGCGTTGCATGACTGTGAATATTAAAAAAATAAGTTAGATTTTACTTTACATAGTTTGTGGTGGCAAAAGTTTTAGTAACCACTTTTATCAACATCAGTGTGTCCCCATTATAAGAGCCCCCCCCCCCACCTTAAAAAAAAAGTCTGGAATTAAAAAATATATATATATCAATTCTCCGCAATTCTGCACCGACAGGAATACGTACATTGCGCTAGCACCAGTGGACAGAGAGCACAAGCGGACTGACTACTACACCCCTCCGAGGTCGGCTAAATCGTTCGCCGACCACTGCCCCCATTCTGAAGTTGTAAACCCAGGAGAAAAACTTAGGATCCTATATAAATGTCAGATGGACACAATAACAACCAACATAGGATGCTGATAAAAGAGTGTACCTTTTCCATAATAAAACATAACTTCATAATTCACTTATGTAATCTTCTGAAATATCTAAACAACCCCATTTAGCCATGCTTGCAGCAAGGCTCTATGAATCTCACTGCTAGTAGATCGTTGACATTCGTTTGTGGATTGGATTAAACTAAATTTAAATTTGGGGCCGATATTCAAGTGCTGTTTAGGATAAATTTAAGTGACGTTAGTGGCTACTTTTCTAGCACCATTATCAATTCAAATCAGGTCAGTGTGTCCAAAAGAAAAATATCAACCAGTCACCTGTACTTTGTCCATCTTCAAATTATTGCATGATAATATTCTAACCCCCTAAACAATGACGGTCAATTCGGTAAATGATGTAGTCCTTTACAAGACAAAAAAAAAGCATCTCAAAATTGTCATTCTGACTGTCAATGCAACAACAGGTGGAACAGACACATTTCAGAGGTTACAGCTATTTACTAGACTCTTAAATGTCTACATTCTCAAATAATTTATTTCCCTACTGTTTTATAATTAGGGTTTTATGTCTCCATATAAGGCCTATGGACATCATCTGCTGTTCCCATTACTTGGAAAAATTTTTCATGACAACAACGTGCTTAATAAAAGCTTTTTTTTAACTTATTCTTTGGAACCTACCTTAACGAGTATTTTGGTGACCAACTGGCCAATGTCCTCTCTCCAATCTGGAATGTTGGGGTTGAAGTTGTCCAGGCTTGTGCTGAAACTCAGAGGGATGACCTGGAAGTTATCTTGGATGGGACAAAACAATAGATTAAATAGCAATCATCGGTTATTCAAAACACAAAGAATCATGCATCAAAAGTGTATGAATAGATATTTATTTATGAAGCACATCTAAATCTGAAAAATAAAAACAGATCTTTGCAAACTTTATTTTGATGCAAAATGTATGAATTGAACGTATTCAATCTTCAGACTTTATTATACCAATTGAGTAACTACCATTAGTTTAATTATTGTAGTTTCATTCCTATATTCTGTCAATATGTGCCGCTACACTGCCTCAACTGCACTGCCTCACTCTGTATAATTCTTTCAAATTTAATTGTTACCGTAGACTCGAACTGTCCTGGTATCCTGTACCATAGACCGGCTATTAGAAGCTTGGACAGTGACTGAAACTTCGCCTGTCTCTGGGAAACGGGTCCATAGGCTGTTCTGCAGAGTCAGGGTAGGCTAAGGGAGAAAGTCACAACAGGTTGGTTATTATTATTATTTTCACTGAGTGAGAATGTTGTCAGTGTTGTTGTAACTTTGATAAAAACAGTTAATGTTGTTAGTTCATCCAGCCTGCTCATAGGAAATGTGTTTTTTCTTGTTCATTTTGTGTGCGGGTAACAAATCATCTCCTTTTCATGTTAAGTAATTTAGTGTGCTCTTGGTCACATCAATTTGAAAGCTGGACCAACTTTTTTTTAATCTCATTCTACTGCAATTAGGCCAAATAAAAAAAGTAAAGTAAAGTAGTCTGGACAATCTTTTTCTTTCAATGCCTCAATAGGTGGATCTTTTCTGCCACCAATGCGTAGGTCGGTGATCTTGGGCTTAAAAATGTTGGTGACCACTGGATATAAAGAGCATACGATTTTTCAACAATTTCTGAAAGCTGAAGTGGTTTTCGGAAGAGGAAAAAAGTGTAATATAATTTAATGTTGGTAAAATTTATAAGAAGAAGTTTGTGTCCTCTAGTGTGTCCTTTACCCTCTGGTTATCTCCAATCCACCAGTAGAAGACAGACAGGTTGGCCTCAGTAGGGATGACTATTGCTGTCAGATTAACCTCATGGTTTCTCCCAGTGATGGGTACCACCTCCAGGTGCACTTCCTGCAGGGGAGCTGTAAGAGTAAAAAATACGTTTTCCATATTACATTCATTCATATTACATACTGATTTGGGGGGGAGTGGGGTTCTGGGAGATACTGAACTGGATCGGAATTTATTTGATTGATTAGAACATTTAAAAGATATTATTTAAATATTTTTCCCACACCCACTGTGGGTGAGTTGGTTGCACAGTTGTCCTCCAATCAGAGGATTGGTGTTTTTTTAATTCCAGCTCCGACTAACCCGCATGCCAATGTGTCTTGGGCAATGTTTAACCCCAACATTGCTCCTGTAGCTGTGACTACATTGTGTTAATTACTGATGGGCAGGTGAGTATGGTAGCCCCCTGTCATCAGTGTATGAATGGATGTGAGTGGGTGAATGACGACATTAAGTGTTAAAACGCTAGAAAAGCTATATACAAGTACAGCCGATTTACCACAAATGTCTTTAAATATACATTAACATGAATCCAACTTATTGTAGCGAATGGATTATTTGGAGGCAGAAGATGTTGTCTTTGTGTCAGAAAGCACATATTCAGCAAGACCGAGGAGCTCTCTCAAGCTGGGCACCGGTTCATTCACAGCACAAAACTAACCCGGACTGCCCTGCACACAAAGAGAAGGACCCGCCCCTATCGCTGCTGTTTCAATCACAAGACCAGTTTTACATGCTGGCTCTGATAGGTGACTGACAGAGAGCCCATTCGGTCCCCAGGGGACTAAGATCCCAGACACTTGACACACGCTGCCGCAATATTATTTGAAAAGAAGCAGTCTCAATACAGACCAATACTGCAGCCTGAAGCCTTCATGGTCCTATGCAGTGGAGGCTTGCCAATAGAGGGCCATGGGGCGTGGCCCCCCTCTTAAGCGCTCCTCCTTGAGCCACAATTTTAAAAAATAGTGATAAATATAAATATGAATACATACGAAACTTCCATATTTGTGTTTTTGAAATATGGAATGTACCCATTCGTATTTGTATAATTGGCCAATGTGGTTTGCCTCCGAAGTTCCCCATCCCTTTATCAGTTTAGGGATTGTTAACCTGAAAAATGTTCAAGACCCCTTGTGGCATCTGGAACTTACCAGTCCGTCTTTCACTGCTTTTTCTTTCATTTAAATTGAGACACTTGTTTGATGGACTTCATATTTGTTTGAGCGTACAAAATCAGATTCTGCCTTGCCTCTCCCTCTAGTACAGTGGTGATACGCAGGTATACGCTGTATACCCACTAGGAAAGGTCAAGAATTTCCCACCAACAAAAGCCCGATAATACGTAACAACATTGTTGTGACAGAACGTTTTAACTGTCATTCATAAATTCACCCCGTCTGAAGGCAGTCACATCATGCATGACCAAAACTATAGAGATCCTTGCTTACTAACAGACGTATTCTCCTCCCCCCCGTCAACCGGGTCACCCCCGTCAGCTGGCAGTCACAGTATACTCACTACAAAAATATAGACTACACCACTGCTCTAGTATTCTTCCAACTAACTTCCAAAAACACAAAATATGCACAATTGAAACATTGAGTGACTGCTTGGTAGGCCGACCTGTGACCTGGATGAACATGGTGGCCTCATCTTGGCCTGCCATGTTCTCTGCCTTCACAGTGACCTTGTAAATGCCTGGATTTTTGTAACGATGTTGGATGGGCTCATCGGTCACTGTGAGGTTTTGGTAGATGGCCCAGACCCCATCGCCGAGGTCCACCTGGTACCGAGTGCTGCTGGTGTCGCCCTGGTAGAAATAAGTGCCGACTTTTAGCCAGTTCAAATTGAAAAGAAGGAAGGAAGCAAAGCATAAATATATGAAATGTTTCATCCTACCTCTTCCTGGTGGACAATGAATGTGATGTCATCTCCAGGAGCAACAGCCATCATCTGACCTTTAATGCTGACCCGGAGTCCTTTTGGGGGCAACAGAGGGCAGCTGTGGTGTTTGATACTGTGCTGCTTGTTAAGCCCTCCTTCACACATGTTAGATACCACCTTCCTGTAGCTAAAACACAACATGATATTGTTTAAAATTGTGAAGGTGTACAGATGTATGCATGTATTTTAATATTTTTGGAAATGTGATTATGTTATGAAAGTTTTGTTTATCATCTGTAGAAGCGTAATCAAGCTCTATAGACAAGGTTTAGCTAGTAAGCAACCACGCTCGGGTTGTGGACGACGTGGAAGTCAAGAATACAGTCAAAGTCTGTTGCGCCTATTACAGAGGGAATTATGGCTAATGAACCACAGCTCTCAGTGGTCCTACAGAACCATTGGATTACCACCAGGTATTTCACACACTGATTATTATAATTTTGTTTATGTTTTCCTTCCTGTACTGCAACGATTTTACACCATAAACCAAAACCGAGGTACATACAGAATAGTATGTTTTGTGTACCTTTCCACCACTATTACTATATACATTATATTATATTTAGTGAGTCCATTCATAGAGACAATAAAGTTTGGCTTTAAAGGCAGCGTTGAAAACAGCTCCATGATAAGAGCTTACATATGAGAATACGGCATATGAGAATCAATGCTCATCTCACTCCTGGAAAAAATAACTATGTGTGTGGGTGTATACATGTTTGAGTGATGAAGATATTTGTGCACATGCACGGACCCAGTGCTGGGCGTATAGGTTTGTCTTAGATGGCAGTCCTCAGGTGGTGAATCTGGATCATGCCAGAAGTCAGCCAAGCAGTGATTGCCTTCCGTTGGGGACCGTTCAAAACCATAGTCACTACACACGTACACCACAAATACACAGATATGAAAGAAGAATAATACAAAAATTGAGGAAATTTACCCGCAAAATTAACATAGTAGTACTATACAGTATGCATGTTTTAAATTAAATATTTTCATGTAAACTTGAATGCACATCACAGATATTTTGCATATGTGCTGTATATTACTTTCAAAGGCATTATTGTTATTAATTTCGTTTACACATGATATAACTTATAAACGTATAAAAAAAGAATGGACAAGGCTGAGGCTTCTGGGAAAACAGAAATGATGTTTTATTAATATAGTTACCTCAGCTTAAAAACTTTTTGCACTGATTTAGAGCATTATGTTGGACACTTGATAGATATATATATTTATATTTATAGATATATATATTTATATTATCTTAATATCGTTTATATAGTTAAGTCTTGCATGTACTGTGTGTATATATATATATATATATACATGACCTTATATATACACACATGATCTTGTTTTACCTTATCTTATTCTAATATTTTCTTCCTATATTGCACCAATGCCAAGTCAAATCCCTCTGTGTGTAATATATGTGGCAATAAATGGCTCTGATCCTTAATTGTTTCCTCTATTATATATTTAGTTATACACAGTATATCATGTGCTTTTTTAATTTCAGATAGGCATTCCACATTATTTACGATATTGAATAATTGTTTTCTATATCTGTGGAGTGCTCACCAGTTGAAGTCTCTATCTGTGCATTGACATGGTTTGGTGTCAAGGGCTGATGTGTAGCTCTTTCCTTTGACACAGAACGCTGTGTCCTTCCTTTTCCTGAAACTTCGCTCCAGGCCCATAATGCACTTCTCTCCCTAACGGTGATGATAGGGAAATGACAATTTAGTTTCAAAAGACACATATGTACTGTAATTATTTGTGTATTTGTATGTTTACATTACCTGCAGGTCAGTGAGTTTCCAGAGCTCATAGTCAGACTCTGTACACTGATGGGAGAAAGACTGCCTGAAGTCCACTTTGACCAACTCCCAGTCTGACCTGTAGCTTATGTGCCCAAACACACTGCAGATACACGAGACAGACACAAAAATAAAAGACATCCCAATGTGGACAGCTGTGTGACAAAACCTTAATCATGATGTTACATCAATGTGTATCGGATTTATTTCATACAGATGATCACTGATAAGTACACTTTGTTTGTTCAAACCTGGTGGACTGAACAGCTGACGGTAAGCGTGTTGCGTCACTTCCTGTTGCCAACGTGTTTGATGTCATCGAACTTTTCACAGCTCTAGCTATACTGAGTTGACTGTAGCGTGATATTTTTCATTACAAACAGTGAATTCTTATCTATGTGAGGCGTTGTTAAACACCTCACCGTCTAACAAATTTTCGCTCCATCGAATAGTTGCTTAGACGTTGTTTAGCGTCAACGTTATTTCTATTAGCGTTAGCATTAGCTTAGCAGCTAACCTGGTGATGTCTTCCCTCCCTATCTCTCCTGCTCTTTCTTGCTCGGTGTGTCACATGTTTAGCTATTCCTCTGCCTCCCTTGCGGATAATGGTACATGTAAGAAGTGTAGTATATTTGATCAATTGGAGGCGAGGCTTCGTGAGCTAGAAGCACGGCTCCGCACCATGGAAGCTCAGTCGTTAGCAGCTGTAGTTACCCAGCCAACCCCCGTAGCCGGTGCGGGCCACATAGACGTAGCGTTCGCTCCTGCTAGCCGTCCCCCGGCAACCCCCGAGCAGCCGGGAGGCTTGGTGACTGTCCGGAGTAAGCATAAGTCGAAGTCGAAGCACACGGTCAACCACCAACCACTTCACGTTTCAAACCGCTTCTCCCCACTCAGCGACACACCCGCTGGGAAGCCAATCTGGTGATAGGTAGCTCCATTCTGAGGAACGTGAAGTTAGCGAAACCAGGGACCATAGTTACATGTATACCGGGTGCCAGAGCGGGCGACATTGAGTCTTATCTTAAACTGCTGGCTAAGGATAAACGTAAATACAGTAAGATTGTAATACATGTCGGCGGTAATGTCTCCCGATTACGTTGCTCGGAGGCCACTAAAGTTAATGTGGAATCGGTGTGTACATACGCTAAAACAATGTTGGACATAGTTATCTAAGTTAAAGGTAAACAACCGAGGAGTTATAGTAAATAACTTAATTAAAGTTAAAACTAATAATGCAATAGTGCAACAAAATAGGAGAATTAAAGGGGGTCTATGGAAAATCAGATCTTTCATCTAAAGCTGTTTTGGTAAATTAACTAATATCAGATCACCATGTTGATGTATTTTGTCTTACTGAAACGTGGTTGTTGAATGGGGAATATTTCTGTTTTAAATGAAGCGACTCCTCCGACTCATGTTAATACTGATATTCCCCAAGGCACAGGCCGAGGGGGGGGAGTGGCAGCTATTTATGACTCCTGCCTTTTAATAAACTTTAAACCTAAGGTGGATTATAACTCATTTGAAAGCCTGGTTTTCAGTCTTTCGCAATTGACCCTGAAAATAATCCAGCCGGTTCTCTTTGTAATAGTGTACAGGGCCCCAGGTCCTTATTCAGAATTTCTTTCTGAATTTTCACAGTTCTTAACGAGTTTGGTCCTTAAAACGGACAAGGTAATTATTGTGGGTGACTTTAACATTCATGTGGATGTCGACAACGACAGCCTTAGTACTGCATTCCTTTCATTGTTAGATTCAATTGGTTTCTGTCAGTGTGTAAATAAACTGACTCACTGTTTTAACCACACTCTCGACTTGGTTCTTGTGTATGGGATTGGGATTGAACATTTAACAATTTTTCCACAGAACCCTCTCCTGTCGGACCATTGTCTGATAAACTTTGAATTTCTACTATCGGAACCACCTCCTCCTGCCAAGGGCTACTACAGTCGACGTTTATCGGATACCGCTGTAGCCTCATTTAAAGAAGCCATTCCTTCTGCTCTAAGTTCAGTGCCCTGCCTCAAGATACAAGAAGACTCCTGTGAGAACCTCGGTCCGTCGCAGATCGATAATTTTGTCGATACTGCTACAGGCTCTTTGAGAGTGGCGCTGAACGCTATTGCTCCTCTGGAAAGAAGAATAGCAACAAGAAGGAAGGTATAACCCTCAAACACGGAACCTAAAGCAAACTGTGCGGAAACTTGAACGATTATGGCGTTCCACCAAATCAGAAGCATCTAGGCTAGTTTGGCAAGGCAGCCTTAAAACATATAAGAAGGCTCTCCGTAACGCAAGAGCATCTTATTACTCATCATTAATAGAGAAAAATAAAAACAACCCCAGGTTTCTCTTCAGCACTGTAGCCAGACTGACAGAGAGTCACAGCTCCGTTGAGCCGTGTATTCCTTTGGACCTCACTAGAAACAACTTCATGAACTTCTTCAATGATAAGATTCTGACTATCAAGGAGAAAATTGATGGTCTCCTGCCTTCAACCAGTGCCGAACTGTCCTCCGATGTAGGAACCTTGGATGCAGCAGTGGGCCCTGATGCCTGTTTGGATGCCTTCTCTTCCATCAACCTTGATCAACTGACTTCTTTATTTTCAAAGTCTAAATCATCTACTTGTCTCTTGGATCCGATTCCGACCAAGCTGCTTAAGGAAGTTTTTCCTTTAGTTAGCACATCCTTATTAGATATTATGAATCTGTCTTTGTTGACAAGACATGTACCACAGTCCTTCAAGGTAGCTGTAATTAAACCTCTTCTTAAGAAACCTACTCTTGCTCCAGGGGTGTTGGCTAACTACAGACCTATCTCTAATCTTCCCTTCCTCTCTAAGATCCTTGAGAAATCCATTGCAAATCAATTATGTGACTTTCTACAAAACAATGCTTTGTTCAAGGATTTCCAGTCAGGATTTCGAGCGCATCACAGTACAGAAACAGCACTGGTGAAAATTACGAATGATCTTCTACTTGCATCGGACCAAGGACTCATCTCTTTTCTTGTCTTGCTGGACCTCAGTGCCGCATTTGATACCATAGACCATTGTATCCTGTTGCAGAGACTAGAACATTTAATTGGTATCAAAGGAACTGTACTCAGCTGGTTTAAATCCTACTTATCGGACCGATCCCAGTTTGTGCTTGTAAACGGTGAATCCTCAAAGACCACCAATGTTGGTCACGGAGTCCGACAAGGTTCTGTACTTGGACCGATTTTATTTACCCTCTATATGCTTCCTTTGGGTGATCTTATCAGGAAACACCGCATAAACTTCCATTGTTATGCAGACGATACTCAACTGTATCTGTCGATCAAGCCAGAAGAGACGGACCAGCTAGTTAGACTTCAACAATGTCTTGGAGACATCAAAACTTGGATGACTGGCAACTTCCTGATGCTAAACTCAGAAAAAACGGAAGTTATCCTGAGGCCCAGAGCGCCTTCGAAGCCAGCTGTCACGTGATACAGTTTTTATGGATGGAATTGCTCTGGTACCCAGCAGCACCATCAGGAATCTGAGTTCTCTTCGACCACGATATGACCTTCAACTCCCATATAAAGAAGACTTCACGGACTGCCTATTTTCATCTACGTAACATATCAAAAATCAGGAACTTCCTGTCTCAAAGTGATGCAGAAAAATTAGTTCATGCGTTTGTCACTTCCAGACTGGACTACTGTAATTCTTTGTTATCGGGCTGCACTTGTAAATCTCTTAAGCCTCTCCAGTTGATTCAGAATGCTGCAGCATGTGTATTAACAAGAACTAAGAAAAGGGATCATATCACTCCCGTAATAACTTCTCTGCACTGGCTGCCTGTTAAATCAAGAATAGATTTTAAGGTACTTCTCCTCACCTACAAGGCACTTGCTGGTGAGGCACCGTCGTATCTTAAAGAGCTTGTAACACCTTATTGCCCTACAAGGCAGCTGCGCTCCATAGATGCTAAAATAAAATGAATTGAATTGAATTAAGTACAGTACAGTGTTTCCTGTTTAATTTTTTACATTACATGTCATTTAAGTGTCGCTTTTCATCCAAAGTGACTTACATTGCATTGTTAAGCCATGGTTTTACATTTTGCCCGGGGAGCAATTAAGGGTCAGGTGTTTTGCTCAGGGACACTTCAACATGGGACATGGAGCAGCCAGCCTCTTGTGACCCTGGTTAACTTCACTTCCTGCCTTGATATTTTTTCCTGTGGGTACTGTCACGCTGTAGGTTCGTTCCATGTTTTATTTTGTAGTTCCCTGCCTCTTGTGTCCATAGTTAACTTCACTTCCAGCTCTAATGTTTCTCCTGTGGGTGATTGTCGGCCGTGTACCTAATTGTTTCCCCTTGTGTCCTATCCCCTGCACCTTCCCAGTGTATTTAAACCTTGTTGGTCCATTGAATGAGTTGTCTGAGTGAGTGTCGTGCCTGTTGGTGAGGTTTTATTCGCCCTGGTTCCTGGTCCGCGTTTTGCCCCTCAGCATTTTTGATCTCTGTATTAATAAAGTAGTTTTGTTCTTAGAATACGCTGCCTGCCTGTTTTCTGAGTCTGGATTTTCTGCCTGGCCTTAGTTTCATTTTGTATGCAGGCTGAAGTTTCTAAAAGAAATCAAGGTTTTCAGACAATTTATGATAAATTCAACAAAGCTTACAGACTTCAATTTAATTATTATGACAGTCGTCCTGAAATTGATCATTTTTCTTTCTTTTGGAATTAGGATTCCACTCACGTCATAACCAGGGTCTCATCTCCTGGCTCACTGAGGAGTCCATCGACAAACACAGAGGTGCTGGTGAAGTTGTGAATGGTCCACGTCCGTCCTTCATCAATACTAAACCTGCAGAGAAAAGAAACGTGTTCACAATTAACACATTAATGAAAATCTCTTCAATTGGACTCATCTTTGTTTCGAAAAGAATAGTTCATAAAGAGGAGGCATTTATTACAAAGACAAAGTCCCAGGGAATTTACCGTTTACTAATACACGCCCCACGTCAGTTAAAACCTCCAAAAGAGTAACCCCACTGAAAGGAATAGATTTAACAATGTGATCCCTGCTGTTTAATTAAAAGGGTAGCAATGTGGCATGGCAGCCATTTTACGTGACTTTAACTAAAGAAACTACAGAATTCATGTGATCAACATCAAATTATGTCAGAATCATCGAATAACCTTTACGATGAAACTTGATCAAAATGGGTGTCTTCATTGAACAAGCTTTATACGGTGTGCACTTCACTCTCTCACATTTTGTGACATTCGCTATGAAAGAGGAAGTTGTTGTAATTCCAAGGTACATATCTAATCTGGCCGAGTTCCCTTATGTATGCTATTAGTTTAGTCTAAGTCTAATCACATTCCCATGTTAACATGGAAATGATTCTCCGAACCATGACTTGACGGTCAACTTTGGCAACTCTGTGTTAACGCCCACTGTTAGGTACCTCGGCGTCACACTCGACAGCCAACTCTCCCTGACTCCCAACATTACAGCAACAATACGATCCTGTAGATACACGCTCTACAACATCAGGAGAATACGTCCTCTTCTCACTCAGAAGGCAGCGCAGGTACTGATTCAGGCTCTTGTCATCTCACGCCTGGACTATTGCAACTCTCTCCTGGCAGGTCTCCCTGCTACCGCCATTCGACCTTTGCAGCTTATCCAGAATGCAGCAGCCCAACTGGTCTTGAATCTTCCGAAATTCTCCCACACTACTCCACTCCTCCGCTCTCTTCACTGGCTACCGGTGGCTGCCCGCATCCAGTTCAAAGCGTTGGTGCCCACGTACCATGCTGTGAATGGATCGGGTCCAGCTTACATCCAGGACATGGTCAAACCCTACATCCCGACCCGCACTTTCCGCTTTGCATCTGCAAAACTGCTCGTCCCTCCCTCACTGAGAGCGAAACACTCAACTACATCACGACTCTTTGCTGTCCTTGCTCTGAAATGGTGGAACGAGCTCTCTGAAGACATCAGGACCGCAGAGAGCCTTCACATCTTCCGCTGCAAACTAAAGACACACCTCTTCAGACTCTACCTCGACTAAAAGACTAACAAATTGTAGCACTTAAATTGTACTTGTAACTCCACTTATCTATAGCAAATTGTAAATTTCTTCTTTCTCGTTTCTTGTTCTTCTATATATTACAATAAGTTACAACTTATTGTAAGTGTCAGCTAAATGACATGTAATGTAATGTAACATGGTGCCACTTGCTGGTAAAAGGAAATTACTAGGGCAGTCAATAGATTAAAGAAAATTAATTAATCACACATTTTGAAATTGATGAATCTCGATTAATGAATTTTGTTGTTGTTACAATGTTGTTTTTAATGAATGTTTGTTTTTCTTCTAAAGACAAAATCTTAAAAATAATGAGTAATCACTTGAAAAATTGTATTTTAGACACTTTAATTGTTATTGTTATTTTAAACACAAAACTACACACAATTGATCATTTGATCAGAATTCCACAAGGTGGAACATGTTGAACTAGCGACTCTTCCTGCTGTCGTTTGGGGAGTTTTTCCTGTGCCGATGGTGGGTTTCGGGGCAGAGGATGTCGTATGTGTACAGACTGTAAAGCCCTCTGAGGCAAATTTGTAATTTGCGATTCTGGGCTATACAAAATAAAATGACTTGAAAATGACTTGTCCTTGTGCACTTTGCTCTCAACTTGGGGGGATAAGTAGTAGCGGGTACTGTCACCTAGCATAGGAACGACGAATTCGAATCCAGCCTCTGATATTACCTTTTCCACCGGTCACTCCCCCGCACATCCCTTCACACTCCATATGTACATACACTTGTTACTTTCACATACTCCCAACCTGTGTAGAGTATGGTTATCTTTTCAACTTATCACATTATTATTATTATTTTTGTATTCTATATTCCTCTAGCCTACAGCCTTCTATAACATACTGTAGATTTAAATTATACATTTGTAAATTGAGCATGTCATTTTTCCTGCACTGTGTTATTTGTTTTGATGTCCATTGTCTCATTGCCTCACTGTCCAATGTTATGCACCAACCGCCATGTCCCAATTCCTTGTATGTCTAACATAGGTTGTCAATAAATATTCCCTATTCCTTATTCAAGACTTTTTCTGATCCACTTCAAGTTTGGCAAGTACCTTGAAGTGTATCAGAATTTGTTTTAATTCAAATTTTGAAATATTTTACATTTGATGGAATGTTGTAACTGTGGAAGAGTGGCTATTTTATGTAGTTCCCTATTGTTTAAGTCCTCTGGACTCACTAACTGTTTAGTAACACTAATGGCCTGAAGATGCCAAGCAAATTTTCATACTGACGGAAATAAATCAGTATTATGTGACAGATCCCATCTAATCCATGCAGATCTGACCACGGGGCAAAATATGTGTAATTTAGGGATGCTTTGCACAACAGTTGCAAACACTCGTGGCTGTGGACGTTGCCGTCCTCCCAGTACACCGGACATCACAAAGGTGGGAGGGCCCATTCATTGCTGCTTGTAGCTTCAATATCAGGGCCAGGGCAACCAACAACGTCGGACTGCGAAGGCCCTGTGTAACTTGTAGTGTTAAAATAATAATCAGGAATCAGTACCATTTATTACCAAAATATGTTAGACATACACGGTTGGTGCATAACATCAGACAAGACAATGGACAACATAGGAACATGCAATAGGAATTCAAATTAAAATTAAAAGTTGAAAAAGGGAGTGACGGTGGGAGGTCAAGGTCAGTCAGTGGGGGACCCGGGCTGTGTTGATGAACCCGACTGCCGGCGGGAAGAAACTGTGGCGGGAGGTCTGGGTCCTGATGGACCTCAGCCTCCTGCCAGATGTAAGGGGCACAAACAGGTTTTGTCTGGGGTGAGAGGGGTCGGCAACGATCTTTTTAGCTCCCTTCAAGGTCCTGAAACCAAACAAGTCCTGGAGAGACGGCAGATTGCAGCTGATCACGCTCTCTGAAGAGCGGATGACAAGCTGCAGCCTGCCCTTGTCCTTAGCTGTGGCTGCAAGAGTACCAGACGGTGATGGAGTAGAGGATGTACTCGATGATGGCCGTGTAGAAGTGCACCATCATCGTCTTTGGCAGGTTAAATTTCTTGCCTCAGAAAGATCAGCCTATGCTGAGCCTTCTTGGTGATGGAGGTGATGTTCCGCTCCCACTTGAGGTTCTAGGTGATGATGGAGCCCAGAATATGGGAGGAATCCACAGCGGTGACAGGGAAGTCACACAGGGTGATGCAGGAAGGTGGGATTCCCTTCTTCCTAACATCTACAATCATCTCCACTGTCTTCAAAGCGTGGAGCTCCAGATTATTTTGACCACCATCACCAAATGGTCAAATTCCCATCTGTAGGCGGACTTGGGGGGAACCGGTGCTGATGGTCCGAGAGGCTGAGACATGCTCAGACAGGAAGTCAGTGATCCACTTGCAGGTGGAGTCGGGCACGTGCAGCTGAGAGAGTTTGTCCAGCAGACGGGATGATCGTGTTGAAGTCCACAGACAGGATCCTGCCGTAGGTTCCTGGGGAGTCGAGGCTGGTAGGTGGCATGTCTCCAGGGAGGTGTTGAAGATGTCTGTGAACACCGGAGACAGCTGGTCAGCACAATGCTTCAGGGTGTGGGGGGGAGACAGAGTCCGGAACCGCTGCTTTGCGAGGGTTTTGTCTTTTAAAGAGCCTGTTAACGTCTCTCTCCAGAATAGAGAGGGTCTGGGGCAGGTTGGTGGAGCTGTGGGGGGTGGAGAGGGGATTGGACTATCAAATCTGCAGTATAACTCATTCTGCTTGTCTACCAGGCAGAGGTCAGAGGCAGAGGTCACTCCCCATGGAGTGTGGGGGGGGGGGGGGGTGCCTTGTAGTTTGTGAGGTGTTTAATGCCTCTCCAAACCAAAGCAGAGTTACTTGCTGTGAACTGTTGTTGAGGTTTAGCATCTCTCACTCAAGTGCCCACTCCTTAATGCCTGATGCTTCTGCAGTCGGAGTTTCGCTGTAAAGCAGGGTTTGTCATTGTTATAGCTGACTCTGGTGCATGATGGTACACAGCTGTCCTCACAGAAGCCAATTGTAACGTGGTGATCCTTGGGGGGTCCTGTAATTAAGAGTACACACCAGATTGTTTCGGCAATCTTTATTTCGCACACTTTTCAGAACCGAGTGAGCTCCCGGGATCCAGCCTCCTCGTCTGGCTGAGTTTCTCAGTCTCTCGCCGGATCGCCACTGCTGAAATACAGGGAGACAAACACAATCATTGATTCCCTGCACTTGAGGCCAACCTAGCACCGTCCCCTCTACAGCTGAGCCAAACCACGCCCCGCCACCACACCAATGTAAGAAGTCACAGCCTCTGTGAACTCATCCAGACTGTTGGTAGCAGTCCTGAAAACATCCCTGTCTGTGCATTCCAAGCCCGCCCGAAGATCCTCCAGCGCCTCACTGGTCCACTTCTTGAATCCCCTCGCCACAGGTTTCTGCCTGTATGCAGGATTCAGATGGGCCATGACATCGTCAGAGTGTCCCAGTGCAGCACGAGGGACAGCGTGATAAGCCCTGCTTACTGTGTTGTAACAGTGATCCAGCGTTTTCTCCTCTCTGGTGGGGCATTTAATAAACTTTAAGTGTTTGTACTTAAGTGTTAGGGACCCAGTTTTCTTAACAGTTTTCCCCCAGTCTGTGCTTTTGTTTTGCTTGTTTTGTTTTTCCACCTAGAGTTTCCAACCGTGTGTTCCGGCCCCACCCCTCTCCCAAGTGCTCAGCTGTGGCTCATTCCGGGGATCACTTGTGACGAGCATAAAGGCTCCTGCATTCAGAGGCTCGTCGTCAGTCCGTCCCAGTACCCAAGCTGGTCTCAGGTGCCGTTGAGACTGAGATACAGCAGCTAACCAGTTTTTCATATTTTTGTTTGTTTTTTGTATCAGACCCACAGAAGTACCACAGAGTACACGTGACCTGTTTTTGAGTTGGACTGTGAGTATGGTGTCGGGCCTCGGGTTTCCACACCAAACCCTGCTTGATCCGCCCCAGACCGCCAGACGTCGGTGGAGTTTCCCTCCCGACTCCAGTTGAGCCAGGGGAGCGCTTTCTGTTTCCCTTATTCACTTAGTTTGTTTTTTTGTGGAAAATAAAATCATTTTGGCTGTAAATCCAAGGCTGCTGTGCGTGTGCTTTTGGGTCCACCAAATACACCCCCCCTAACATTAAGAAGTTCATGGGTGAGATTTCCTTTGTTAAAGTCCCTAAGAACAATAACTTTGTAGTCCGGGCTGCTCCGCTCCACACGCCATATCTGATCGGCGAGTGTCCGCTGTGCATCCTGCACGTTGCCTGCTGGCACCATGTAAACACCGACCAGGATGAATGAAACAAACTCACATAGGGAGTAAAAGGGTTTACAGTTAATGCTGAAGGATTCCAGATCAGGAGAACAGTGTTACAGGATCACTGTACGTCGTTGCACCAGCTGCTGTTGGAGTAGAAGCAGATTCCTCCCCCCTTTGTCCTGCCGTAGAGCTCAGTGTCGCGGTCCGCTCTGAGCAGCTGGAAGCCTGCCAGCTGTCCGGTATCGAACAACAAAGCTACGTCTCTGTGAAGCACAAAACGGAGGGTGTAGAAAAGTCTCTGTCTCTCCTCACCAGCAGCTGAAGTCCATCCAGTTTGTTGCACGGTGAGTGCACGTTGGAGAGAAAGATGCCTGGCAGCGGTGTGCGAGAACCACGCCTACGGCGTTTCACCTTGTGAGTAAAGGTGGGCACATCTTATGGAGTAGAATGTCCAGTAATTCCACAGAAGAAAAGTTGAAAGTAACTCCGCTGGAGTTGTTCCCTGGATGTTCATGAGCTCATCTCTAGAGATAGAGCACCGGGGATCTCAACAGAAAACAGAATTATCAACCAAAATAACAAAAAACAAAGAGCGCCGTCGTACGAGGCAGCCATCCGCGGGTCCATCTTTGTTTATTTTTTTGAGGCAGGTTTACCTGGGGGCTTTGTAAAAAAGTAGAATAAAGACATCCAGGATAACTGAAAAAGCACAGGGCTTATGAGGTTATGCTTATCAGGAGGTGAAGCATGTAATATGCAAAAAAGGAAATACGGCTGCTGTTATTAAACAAAGAGAAAAAGCCTGGCAGAGAATCGCTGACTGACTGTATGCGTAAGGATTTAAAAATATCTACTTACTAGGAAAATTGTACACTCTGTTCTAATTGCTTTTAATATGATTGTTTTGGGTGTTGGTTTATTGCTGTGTCTGTGTTTATATGCTAAATGTGCTGGTTTTACTGTAAAGCAGTGGTCCCCAACCACAAGTCCGTGGGCCATTTAGTACCGGGCCGCACCATAGAAGAATATTATTATTTTTTCTTCCTGAAAAATGTTTTATTTTAAAAATTGATGATTGAGATTCTCTCCTAATTATGTGCGCCCACCAGCGAACAGAGAGTGCGCAACTACTCTTCCCCCACCGTCGATCGGTCCACCCGCAACGACTACTACCCCCCCATTATTCCGCCGGACCTTCTTGACTGGTCCGCGAAATATTGTCTGACAAAAAAGGTTGGGGACCACTGCTGTAAAGGGTCTTTGAGGAGCCTACCATGTAAAACACTATAAATAAAATATATCATTATTTAGCCTACTTTAAACCCTTTAAACCCTTTAAAGGTGGTACTGAAAAGCTCAGGGAGAGAAAGACGAGACGTCTGGAGGAAGGTAAATCAAAATATTTTAAAATCTCTGACTTATTAGGAAACCACTGACTGGTGGCACAACTTACTGTTTGTTTATGCACCATCAACACCCTTACACACATACACAATCACACACCCAGATTGCAACACTAATGATACCATATTCTCACTCCATCTAATGTTATGCTCCATTTTATGATATAGTTCATACTAATGAACCAGTGTCTTTAATGTGTGGTCTTTCTCGGCTGACAATAATAACCATTATCATTTTATTACATGTGTCCATCCAGGCAAATTGGTGGATACATATAACATACATATATAACAAACATAGAGTTTGGAATTTCTTTGTAATCATCCAAAAAGTGAATGGGTATTTTTCCAAGGAGGCCATTGAATGGTTGATACGTGCATTGAGTGGCCTGGTCTGATAGTAACTCCGGGGCCACTTTTTTGGGTTCGAACTGCGGTTTCTCTGACTAAGGACAACCCCGCTTCAACAGTGAGCCATAATTGTTAGTAGACCATGTGTTAATGGTTTTAAGTCAAAAGTCTATAAACTTTGGTGTCACAGTAGTAGGGATTGCTATTGATAGAGTGACATACTGTAACAGTAATCTTACTTGAGTATCTTGAGAGGAATAGAGGTGTCCTTGATGGCAACAATGACCCCACCATGGTCCAGGTACAGAATGTGATGCTCTTCCTCAAAAACCTGAAAAGAAGTTAAATTAAAAGGTGTGTGGTTAAATTGAATGAAATTATATGATTTTTACAAATATGAAGAGCAGGGAGGGTGTACCTGTCTCCATGTCTTTCCGCAGTCTGAAGTAATGTACATCTCCTCCTTATACTCTACGAGCTTGGAGCCAAGGTTACCTGAAGGAAAGGTCAAGAATTAATTGTATGTAAGACCATCTACTCGTATAAGGCAATAATACATAATGTACACAATACAAAAAAAAAAAAAAAAAAAAAAATATATATATATATATATATATATATATAGAGAGAGAGAAGAGGAGAGACAAGAGGAGAGTGGTAGGAAAGAAAAGGAAAAACACGAGAGACTGGTGGTGGTGTATTTGGATGACTGGGCTGACCACATCGCAAGTCTTGGTGTTCCAGCGCCTGGCTGAAGCGTCGTTGACCCTGAACCGTGTGTGAGTGTGCGGTGCCGTTGCAGGAAGGTGGTTAGGGGGGGGGCGCCATCCTGTGTGCCACCAGCTGAACTATTCCACCATTGAGAAGGAGACACCGGGCATGCTTCTCGCGTTGCAGCATTTTGAGGTGTATGTTGGCTCTAGTGCATCTCCGGTGACTGTGTTCACTGACCATAATCCTCTTGTCTTCCTGACCCAGATGTACAACCACAACCAGCAATTGATGCGTTGGGCCTTGTTGGTGCAAGGGGCCAATATTGAAATAAAGCATGAGAAAGGGCAGAAAATGTGATCGCTGATGCTTTATCCTGTGGGTAAGATGTTTTGATGTGTTTGTGTGGATAGATAAAACATATGGGTCTTGTGGGAGGGGGTGTAACGGGTGTGTACTGTCCTCTCGCTCTCTCTCCCGGTAGCTCTGTGTCTTGCCTGGAACTACCAGCTGAAAACCCCTGAGTGAGCGGGGCTGGAAGCAATCGGCTGATTGATGCCACGGTGGCACAGAGGCTGGTGGAAGCCAGGCAACCGAAAGCTTGGATTTGGAATGCACGCACCTTGCAGTGTGTAGGTGTTTGCGTTCGCCAATGTTGGACAGTAAGTTTTAAGTTTGTACGTGATACGGACGTTTGGATTTATTGTCAAATTTCAATTTCAAGTGTTTCCTGTGCCGATGTGAGTGTTTCGGGACAGGAGATGTTGCATGTGCATGACTGTAAAGTGAATTTGCGCAATACAAAATAAAATTAATTGAATTATATGTTTACAATCTGCCATTGTTTTTCATGTATGCTGTCTATATTGTCATTTAATTTTGTTGGGCATCTGTACACACATGTTACATGTCGGTTTATGTGTTATTTCACATTCTGTTTATTGGTGGGAATTTTTCCATATCCAAATAAAGAATCTAAAGACAAAGTTTGCTGCTTGTTGTATTACATGTTAATCCATCCAACACAGTGGGAGTAATGTGCAGCCATAAGGCGCCTGGGGAGCAGTTAGGGGTTGGGTGTCTTGCTCATGGAAACTTCAACATACATGGAGTAGCCAGGGTTCGAACCGCCAACCTTGCGGTTCCCAGTGATTTGTATTTGGATATATGAATTAAATTCATGGGACTTTGAAAACATACATATCAGGTCCAACAGTCAATTAAATAAAAATGCATTTCCCTTAGACTCACCTGCACCCATGATGAGACCTGGAGCAGAATCTTTGGTGTGGACTGTCCCAGACACATACGGGTTGTCTGCCCAGCGAAGGTGGAGGTGAAGGTGACAGTCCGGCTGAAAAATGACAACGTTGAGTAATTTTATTGTGTGGATAGTTTTGCCAGAGTAGATTGGCTCGACTGCTTCACTATCAAATAGCCCACTACTGGTTGTATTCACATTAAAGCTTTAACCAACTCTCGTGTGTCCACCGTTACAACCTCCTTGACTCCACCAGTCAGACTTCAAGGCAGGCCATTCCACAGAGACTGCTCGCCCCGCTGTCTCAGAGCAACTCCACACTGCTAGAGCCGCCTCTCTCTCCTCTGTCCTCATCCTTCTGGACCGTTCTGCTGCATTTGACACAGCCAACCACCAGATCCTTATTTCCTCCCTTCAGGAACTTGGTGTCTTAGGCTCTGCTCTCTCCTCTCATCCTACCTTGATGGCCGCACTTACTCGGGAACCTGGAGAGGATCTGTGTCAAAACCTTGTCCTCGTCCTTGTCCTGGATCCCCTCCTCTGGTCTCTCTACACCAACTCTCTCGGCTCTGTCATTCGCTGTTATGGCTTCTCCTACCACTAGCTATGCCAATGACACCCAACTGATTCTCTCCTTCCCTCACTTGAACACTCAGGTGGCAGCACAGATCTGACTGTCTGACTGACATCACTCAGTGGATATCTGCTCAACATCTGAAAATCAATCCCGACAAGACTGAACTACTACTACGGGAAAGGATTTTCCTACACAGGACCTGACTGTTAACTTTGGCAACTGTGTGTTAACGCCCACTTTGACTGCTAGGAACCTTGGTGTGACACTTGACAGCCAGCTCTCCCTGACTCCCAACATTACAGCAACAATACGATCCTGTAGATACACGCTCTACAACATCTGGAGAATACGTCCCCTTCTCACTCAGAAGGTGGCGCAGGTACTGATTCAGGCGCTTGTCATCTCCCGCCTTGACTATTGTAACTCTCTCCTGGCAGGTCCCCCTGTCACCGCCATTCGACCTCTGCAGCTCATCCAGAATGCAGCAGCTCGACTGGTCTATATCCTTCCAAAATTCTCCCACACTACTCCAATCCTCTGCTCTCTTCACTGGATACCAGTGGCTGCCCGCATCCAGTTCAAAACATTGGTATTCCCGTATCATGCTGTGAATGGATCGGGTCCAGTCTACATCCACGACATGGTCAAACTCTACCTCCCAACCCTCACACTCCGCTCTGCATCTGCCAAACTGCTTGTCCCTCCCTCACTGAGAGCAAAACACTCGACTAGATCAAGACTCTTTGCTGTCCTTGCTCCGAAATGGTGGAATGAGCTCTCGGATGACATCATGACCGCAGAGACCCTTCACATCTCCCGCCGCAAACTAAAGACCCACCTCTTCAGACTAAAATGACTAGCAAATTGTAGCACGTAAATTGTAGTAAGTTGCAAATCGGCTTCAGGAAAGTTTTTGTGAGATCAGTACTTACTGCTTTGCAGCTGATTGGCTTGCCATTCATGTCAGTCGTAGGTGGGACCAACGGTTCCCACTTTTGTCCTTTGTTATAGGTGATGAGAGTTGTTACTTTGCCATCAATCTTCTGATTAGCTAGAAAGACTCCCTTTATTCCACGCACCTAGGGAACAAAGTGTAACAACTAGGGTTAACTTTTGCAAAACAGAACTGAAATACTATTTTAATGTGACCATATGCAGCTTTTGAAGTGGAAATCACAGTGTCACATGTGTAAACATGCTTCAGCACAAGCTTCTCTTTTTCCCTCTCACTTTGATGAAACCGCATATTAATATGAAACATCAATATTACAGTAAAAACATTGTCTATTTGGTTTTTTGCATCTTGGGAAACTTAAGCAGATGGATTATGGTTATTTATATATATTGAGGCTGTCAAAGGTAACAAGTTAATCTATGAGATCATTGTGGCCGAGATTAATGCGATGAAAATATTTTAACGCAGTTAATGAAAATGAATTTACTTTAGGTGTGCGTCGACCCCGACACAAAATCCTGACATGCTGCAGTCAGTTAGATTGGAGAGACCGAGATGGTAGTTGAAGATGGAGAGAGCGGAGACAGCGGAGAACTGTGCAATTCCTCGACGTGTCAAACAGAAGGGGGAGGAGTGGCAAACGGACCACTTTAGGTGCTGATAGTGCCCAGAACATTTTGGAAGCTGCTAGGCTACTTTCATGGCAACATCTACCCTGCGTGGCACACAGTCTGCAAAGGATGTACTCCTTGCACAAACCACTGTAAAATCAGTGGTTTGGAAAATGTCTAAATGTCAAATGATGGAGAGCTGAGAGCACAGCAAACTGCACGAGGACAACAGGAAGCCTTGGAGATGATCAAATGTTGGTAGTTTTGTGTTCATACAATTAAACAACTAAAACATGTCTAAAATACATGCTCTCTGAAGTGCTTTTAATCGCTATTAATCTAGATTAAGAAATGTGAGATTCATTTGTTAATTTTAACTATTGACAGCAATATATGTCACACACACACACACATATATATATAATAGACAAAAGGAGGAGAAGACTAACACCGCTGTGTACGTCAGTGAAGCTAAGGTGGAGGAAGTTAATAGTTTTAAATTCCTGGGAATCAGCATCACAGACAACCTGACGTGGTTTTCATATCTCAATTCTACTGTAGAAAGCTCAAGAATGGCTGTATATCTTCAAGGAATTTAAGATTGCAAAATCCTCATGCCAAGTTCTTGTACATTTATACAGAGGAGCATTGGAAAGCATCCTGACTTGAAACATTACAGGCCGGCATGAGATGTGAGATATTTGTGACACTAAAATGTTTCAGATCTGTCACGGTTTGGGTTCATGTCCTGTTTTATTTTGTAGTTTTCTGCCTCTTTTCTCCATGGGTAACTTCACTTCCTGCCTTGTCCTGTCTTCCCCTGTGATTGTCTGTTGTGTCATGATTGTTTCCACCTGTGTCCAATCACCTGCACCTCCCTAGTGTATTTAAGCTATGTGGGTCTCGTTACTTGTCGCATTTTTGCCCCTTGGCCTTTTGAGTTTTGAAAGTTTGACTATTAAAGTCCCTTTTTGTTTTGAAAACTCTGCGTTTGAGTCGTACCTTCCCCTACGTACCTTCCTGACAAGATCATTAAACTAATTTTTCTTAGATTAGATTAAAATATGGCGAACAAACTGGGATTTACAACATATTTAGATATGAGATCATCTAAAAACCGCATTTTGTATTTACTCAGGTTGTCTTCTATAAAAATTAGTTAGATGATCTGAAATATTTAACAAAAAAAATAAGATGCTTACTTTTAGCGCACTTCGTGTCGATTTATTTGCCTATACAGACCGACTACTTGTGTATGACTGCTGGCTTTCTAGTAAAGACCTTACACAATACCTACCCCAATTGTAATCTTGCTGGCAAGAGTTGAGCGTAGTATCCCTGCTCCTCTGCAGCGAAAGAAGCCAGTTGAACTTGTTGAGGTATCTGATTAAGATGCCTCCCTCTCCCTGAAGGTACTTGTTCCTTCGCCACAACTCACCTCAAGTATATCGATGAGGACATTCTCCTCTGGCTGCTTGGTGCTGCGAACATTTTCCAAGACAATGGAGTAGTAGATGCCCTGGGGATCAGACTGGTACAAGTTATATGTGTCTGACTGGTACCACTCCTGGAGGGCGAGGAAGACCTGGTTCCCATCTGTACTCACTATCTGAACATCCTAGGGGCAGATAAAGGGGGTAGAATGAGGAGAGAACTGGGGGGGCAAAAGAAGAGTGAGTATTTTACAAATATTGTATTTCCTCTTGAGTACAGTAAGTGTAAACACTGTGCCATGCAATTTAATTTGATTTATTTTTTTATAACCTCAAATTACAGATTAAAAATGTCATCATCAACATGCAACATCCTTTCTCCAGGAACCCTCTCCCTTCCAAAAAAATTAACGAGGCAAAAAAAATAACCCCTTGGTGCCTCTGGAGAGGAGGGCAAAAAGCCATTTAGCTACCTAAATATTCCGCACCATGTGTAAGACTTATTTAAGAGCACTTGAGAGCTGCATATGTGTTCATTCCTTTAACAACACAGACTCCAACCTCGAAACAATCAAATCTGCAGGTCAGGTGGCAGTCAGTCATCCTGTCTGCACCAAAAATGTCATAACATAATTTGTTGTCCAGTATCGTAAAGGCTCTATAAGAAGTATACAAGAACGGAACATTATTACTTCTACTGAATGATGCATTCATTTATTCTGCATAATCTAATATTTACAAAGTGAAACCGTGGAACTACTCTGAAAATATGGCGTTGGTCCCTTTGGTTATCCAAGTAAATTTTGGCTGATAATGTCCAACAGAAATCTATTTCTAATCTATTGAATTCAATCCAGTGACATCACTGCACACCAATTTGTGTTTTGTGCAAATAATCAACATTGTTAATGGTCCAGGAACAAATTTGATATTAAAAATACATCATGGTCGATCTGAAAAATCTATATGCTGACATAGTTTCATTTTGTCAACGTCTAAACAATATAACAGTACACAAAATGATTTAGTTTTATGTGAAACCTGCAGTGAATAAATTATCATTTGTGTGCTCTACCTTTGGCAAGGCAAACTTGGGAAACCTCATCTGGACAAACTCGTTGCGTCGATAGGACACAAAGTGCTTTGTAGGATTACCTGTCGTGACCTGAAGAAAAATAGAAGACTCAATCTCAACAAGACAAACTTTTCCATGCAATAAATTACATATGATCCAAAACTGAAAATCCACACTTCTCACTGTAGCTAGTCTTATCGTCAGACCAAGATATGTTTATCTTCTCAATGTGAAATGTCATAATGCCATATCTATAACTGGCAGAAATTGTAGTTCAGTTAGCCAGACCATGAAAGTAGATGTCCATTGTCTAAACATTAAAAATCAAATGTATTTGATTTAAAAAGGCATATTATGAAAGTAATCCTAATTTTATTATTTCATACATTTGACAGTTGGCCAGGTGGACAACATGTGTCAGCAAGATGATCCATCAACCTGATGGAACCTGTGTCTGTAATCTTTAGGCTTTAGAATTTAGGCTCTGTACATCTCGTTCTCATTCTATATTTTGCTTTTATATTATAAATAGGCCTAATGTGTGATGCTATTAATATGTGATGAATATTTTCTTGTTGATACAATGCCAAAGTTTGGGCTGTTGAGTGCCATTAATACAAATTATATATATATATATATATATATATAATTACACACATAATCAATCAAGTTGTTGTCTTTTGATAGGTTAGTTACACTGTTGGTTTCCTTTTTATCGGGTTGACTTGTACATTATTCAGCCCAAATCTGAATTCTCTGCTATACCAAATTGTCATTTTCTGGCACCAGTATTTTATTTCAATACATTTATTACTGGGATATTTTGTATCATATTTTGCATATCAAAATACTAAATATCCCTGCCGCATGAAAATATATACCTCTAGATTCAAGAGAAAATTCCTTTTAATATTTAGGAAAAAACGTTTTGTTTCACTAAAATGATTATCTAATAAATGATTGTACCTTTCACCTCCCATTTTATAGTGATGTTTACCTTAACAAATATGTAGTCGTCCTTCACCAGCAGTGAGTTGTGGTCTATTTTTCCAAGAAACTGAGCCTTAACCATTTTGTCTGAACAGTTTTGGATGAGACAGGTAACGTACAGGTATCCTGCAGCAGAACACAGACAAAAAAACAAGTTTCTGTTGCTTTAATGTACAAAATATAATGAATAAGAAATGTTGGCCACATATTTGTGAAGGTTCACAAGAGGCAATGTGCGGCAATACATTCAATTTTACATTAAATACGTTGTACATTATTTCTAGTGAAATACAGCTCTATAACATTTTAACTAATACACCGACCATGCAATCTATGTTATGTGAAAACAGTGATGGATAAAGGAATCAAGAATGAGAGGAAAATTCCCATATATTTTGCTTTTTATACCATACATTTATTTAAACAGAATTCCACAAGGACAAGTAAAATAGTGGCACCACAGCAAGTGATCTTTGGTGACGAGGGACAATAATTCTAGGTAAAGGATCCAAAGGCTAAGTGGCCTCAGGTGCGTCCATGTGAATAGCATATTTCATTAATGCACATCACTAAATTAATTAGCTTCTTCCACAGAGTTTTTGTGCTTTCTCTCCTCACAGGTTTCCATGGATCATGGTTATATCTGGACCCTGGTCCTGCCTTCTGCCATGACCCTGCTGACACCTGCTGCTGCCATTGTTAGGAATTCAGGCAGCTATAGACCTAGACTGCCAGGGGACTTCTTAGGACACTCCTCTCTCAATCTCTCCTTTTATAAGAATCCACGTAGGATTTGAATGTATTGTACATCTTTTGCGTGTTCATTCTGTACACATGACATCCATTGTAGTCTGTCCATCCCGGGAGAGGGATCCCTCCTCTGACATTCTCCCTAAAGTTTCTTCGCTTTTTTCCCCATGGAAGGGTTTTTCATTTTTTGGGGAGATTTTCCTGTGCCGATGTGAGGGTTTTGGGACAGAGGATGTTGCATGTGTACAGACTGTAAAGCCCTCTGAGGCAAATATGTAATTTGCGATTTTGGGCTATGCAAAATAAAATGAATTGAATATATTTGAAATGGCATAACAAAGAGTAAGGAAATGTAAGAGATTAGCTCAAGCTTTCATGATAACTGGGCAAAACGGAATACATCCTGATTGAGTGTAAGCTGCAGAAGGCAGACATGATGAGGGTGACATGCAACGGTAATGAAATTGTATCATAGACTCGTGTCACATACCTCTGTATTACTCTGCATCCCATACTTTCTGGTGCAGCAAACAAACACTATCCAAGAGTGCAGAAGGTAACTTTTGCTTTACTTTCTATAGCTCTGTGTCAAAACCTCAATTATCTCCCTTATTTGGGTATATGTGGGAGAGCTAATTTGGGCAGATGTTTCTCAGTTTTAATCGACTCACAATCATCGAAGATAATGATGCAGTTGAGAACGCAAAGAACTGATTGCCCTCTATTAGACTTGATGGGTAATACTCTCCTCCTATCCAGAGCCACATGCTTGGCCACAGAAATTTTGCGTTTAGCTGGCCAATTGGGACAACATGGAAGCCCCTAAGTATACAACACAGCACACATCACTGCTCTTCAACAAAATAGGGTGCTTTTTAGGCCAGCTGCAGCTGCGAACCACTTTGGGCGTGATGGGCAATTTGCTGACATCCCCGCTATCTAACCCTTTCGCCAACCATCTCAATAAGGTTTTTGGTCAATTTCCTCTTGTGAATATTCTCTGTCACAGCTCTTTAAAAGCTCTTTTGGAATGAACCTTCTACTTATCAGTCTTTATTATGTACCACTTTGGTATATATCCATCTCCAAATTTGGAATTGAACAGTTTCATAAGAAATCTAAAATGTTTATCAACAAGTAGGTTCTGCCCAGTCTTCCCACAAGCTTCAACTCAGCAGGTCAGGGACTGCTACTGTGGCAGTATCCCCTTGTTTGACCGCTCCTGCAATCTTTGGCCCTTGCTCCCTCCATCTTAAGTGCTCCACAATCAACTCTTGGTCTGCATGTTAAGGCCATTCCTCATAACCCACCATATGGGGTTACTTCTCTTTTTTTGGCCTTGTTGACTTGTCATTGTTGTGTGGTATGTGTGACTGTGTGACAAAGTTTATACACCAATCAATTGTATTATAATGATACATTCCAGTCTGAATTCTAACTATGTTTATCTTACCAGACCCCTAACAGTATCATGAATTACCATACAAATAGTGCATGCAAAATCACAATACCTCCACTTGTGTCTTGCATTTCCATGTGCACCAGATCAGGATCCATGTCCACGTCAGATACTGACCTGGAAAAATTCATCAATGTACCATGAATGACCATGGATAATAAATTGAAATTAGAGGTAAAACTGCAATGTTAACTGTCCCCTCTTTAACCAGCCATTGCCAAGCAGCACAAACTGCACTGCTACATTTACAACGGTTTCCAGGAGAGTTTTTGTAAGATTTTCTTAGGAAACTTCTGTTTTTAGAATCTTTCAGTAAATATTCAGTCAATATTCACTACACACTATATTTGGCATTACTGTTCTACTTATTCATAATTTGAACACCATGATTTAGGTCTGCTGACCCATTTGTTACAACTTGTACATGACGCAGTAATAAACTAATACTCTTAGTACATAAAGTGAGTCTTGAAATCCTTATTACCAGAAGAATTTGTCCTTGTTCACCCGCTCCTGAAGCAAAGTCCACTTCCGGCCCAGGTCTATCGAAGCAAAGAGCTGGATACGAAGAAAGACAAAAATGACCTCAATTAGCCAGCCAACATAAGTATATAGCATTACATTAAGAAGCCTAACATTATGCCCAATTATAAAGGTATATACATTAAAAAGGAGGATAAATTCAGTCTATATGGATCAACTCAGTTCACCAAACACTGCTACTACATTTCATGGTTCACCAAGTTAATTTATAATATTATTGTTTATGAGACGTGTATTTTATTATAGTGTGTGTGTCTTGCCTGAGCTTGTATGTTATCTCAATCCTTAGAACGCATAAAACAGACTTATATTCTGGTGAGAATCGACTTTGGAAAACTCTAAACCTTCTACTTGTCTCATGGATCCGATTCGGACTAGCCTGCCTAAAGAGGTTTTTCCTTTAGTTAGCACATTATGAACCTGTCTCTGTTGACAGGACAGGACATGTACCTCAGTCCTGCCAAGTAGCTGTAATTTAGACCTCTTCTTAAGAAACCACCTCCTGTTCCAGAGGTGTTGACCAACTATAGACTTATCTCTAATCTACTCATCCTCTCTAAGATCCATGAGAAAGCAGTCGCAAATCAGTTGTGTAACTGCATAAGGAAGTTTTTTTTGAGGATTTTCAGTCAGGATTTAGAGTGTATTGTACCACAGAAACAGCACTGGTGAAAATAACAAATAATCTTCTACTTGCACCAGACAAAGGACTGTACCGGATTGCATAGACTAGAACATTTGATTGGTATTAAAAAGAAAAGCACCGTAAAAAATCTTGGAGTTACTTTCAAACAGGATAGGTCCTTTAACTCAGATAAAACAGACTACACAGACTGCTTCTTTCAACTACATTATATATTGAAAATCAGGAGCTTCCTTTCTCAAAGTTATGCAGAAAAATGATTTGTTATTTCTGAACTAGATTACTGCAATTCTTTATTATAGGCTGCTCTAATAAATCTAAGCCTTAAGCCTTTCCAGATTCAGAATGCTGCAGCACGTGTATTGACAGGAAGAAAGAAAAGGGTTTATATTATATTGCACAAAAATATATGCATTCTGTCCATGCTAGGAGAGGATCCTTCCTCCGCCGTTCTCCCTAAAGTTTCTTCATTTTTTCTCCCCTTTGAAGGTTTTTTTCCTAGGGATCTCAATAGACAAAAACATTAATTAATCTCACATATTGAAATTCATTAATTGGAAAAAAAGTTTGTTTGTCTTCAAAAGACTAAATCTCTAAATTTATGAGTAATCACTTCATACAACATGTATTTTAGACACTGATATAAAACAGCGGCGGTTTCATTTACAGGTTCAACAAACACCGGAAGTAAACCTGCGTTAACGGCATTAAAGTATTTTAGCAGATTCATTCATTTTGACGGCCCTAGTTTTTCCATCTTTGGGGAGGTATTTCCTATGCCGGTATGAAGGTTTCGGGACAGAGAATGTGACTATAATGCTCTCTGAGGATTTTGAGCTGTACACAATAAAATGAATTCAATTGAATGCAGGAATCAGGAATCATGCATTGCTGCACATACAACAATCTTGTCTTCTTGGATATTCTTTCAGCTCCAGAGGTTGCTAAATATTTACATGCTTCGGTTGCACTGCAATACCCACCCTGCCAGCTTTACAGTAGGCCAAGAGCTTGTCTTCTTCCTTAGGGTGGAAGATGAGAGTGTCCGGCGTGAAGGAGATGGACAGCCGCTGGAAAGAGAGACCTTCGTCTGTGCTGATAAACAGCATCTGATCCCTTTCATTTGTTGATGAACCTACCAGCACTACCTGGAAAGTGAAAAAGACAGAGCAGAAGGAAGCAAGGAAAACTGTTTAGAGGTCAAATGGTCAATGGGTAATTTCAACGTATAAGTCACTCAGTCAGCAGTCCGTGGAACAATGCATTTGAAATAATCATTTTTTCAAACGTTTTATTTTGTTTGATTTTAGGCTGACACAACATATGAATTATTTATGAATCATATGTGGTTCATGTTTTGTTAATTTAATCCTTACTGGTGTCTAGGACTTTATTTCAGAAATGTATGGCACTAACACGGCCATTACTTTTGGCTGGCTGGATAGAGAGGTAATGTATAAATCCATGCAAAATGTTGCCTTATCTAACCTAATCTGTTTTATAGAGCTAACATCTGCCTGGATATGAAAGAAAGCAACCCCTGCTCTTCATGTAAAATCTACTGTCATCATGCAGGAGGAAAGTCTCAAACTCAGAACCAATTTAAATTTAAATTAATTTAAATCAATGGGAAAGTGGGCCCTATAACAATGTACTGGACTGATCTAAAATAACTACAACACTGTTCAAAGTAGAACTCCCAGAAGATCTGCAATGCTCCCCCTTTGCTATGTAAAGTATTTCCTTGAAATGCAAACCCATCTCAGGAAATATAAACTATAAAAAAATCCAAATTCAATTCAAATTCAAATTTTGAATTAACACACACAAATCCTTTTCAGTGGTATTGTGAGGACTGCAGATAGGCAGTGAGCAGCAGGCCTCACATATGGCTGGCTGCACTACTTGAGAACTGTGTATGTCTGTCTCCTGCTTGTTCTCAACACATTTCCCAGAGCAGCATGGTCAATTTAAAGTGTTTTCAGTAGACAGTAGAGGCTGAAACGAGTTTATCCTTTCGCATAATAAACCAGAGAGGGCTTTAGCAAACTTTTTTAATCACAATCCGGCATTTCTATCCTGTAAACAGGTTAGGATGTCGATGAGCAAACAGCAGGTATCCTGTTAGAAAATGCGGCATTCATTTACATATCAAAATGTAAAAAAAAATGTGTCTTCTACTGTATTATTTAGAGAATTGTCATGTGTTTTTTAAATGTTTCTGTAGATTATCTGATGGCAACACCATCAATCTGATTGACCTTCATCAGCCAATATGTCTGTTTGAAAGACATCACTCAATTCAACAAAGTTGAGCTCTGACAGCTGGACATCCTCAGTTCTCACACACACACACACACACACACACACACACACACACACACACACACACATCCAAACACTGGCAGCAGATGTACAGTTAGATGAAAAACATCTGGTAAACGTCATGTTACATTCACACAGAATTAATGTGTGTTTAATGTTTCTGTTAAAACTACAAATGTAGTGGGTTAAAAAATACACTACATCGTAAGTATATAACTACAGAAACCTTATACTTGGAAGAAGTAAGAAATGATACGTTAGGTTGGAATACAAAATCAGGCAAGCAAACATGTGCAGCATGTCCTGTGATGTGTCGGGTATAAGGCGATCTGACACAGTTTTCAGTCACCTTGACTACAATGTAATTAACTGAAGAGTGTCCTGTGCATTATACATATCAACATCCACTACGGCTCATGCACTTATACTCTATGGTGGCAGCACTGATGGGTCTGACCTTTCCCTTGACATAGTTGTGATGGACGATTGCGCCAGAGCACTACTAGGGAATGCAAATGGCGCACCTCCCTATGCAGCCCAGAGTGAATGACCTGGTGGTGCTTTTGACCTGGATTTTGCTCCATAAAGATATAGACAACGTGTACACAGTGCAAAAAAGAAAGACAAAAAAGATAGAGAAAAGACTTTTGAAGGCCCTATTTACGTCTCTTTGCAGAATAGATTATCAATGGTGAGGGGCCTTGTGGTGAACTGGGAACTGATGGTCTCTAGAAGGTTGATTGAGCCATAGTCATTGTTAGAATTCACTCTAGTGCTTGTTAGGACACACATTATGTTTAAGAGCTCTTCTCTCATGAAAGAGTTCCAGACATCCCAGCAGAAGACTGTACAAAAACATCACAAAACAACACGCACCAAAACCACACAGCGCCATTTTCTCAGTTCTTCTATGAGAGGGTGAGATAAGAATTGAAAAAAGGTTATCATGGCTAATCCTCGTCACTACATCTATGAAATAGTAGGCAGACTAAGAAGAAGGGGATGGAGCTGTTGGCCTCCTTCTCCCGCCACTTTGTCCATGAAATCCGGAGGACAAATGCAAATACAACTCTTGAGACATTGGAAAATTGCATTTCAACAGGGGTCTGACACCTTCCATGAGCCTTTTCTGATCTTGCATCTACGTATATCAGCAGAACAACATCATTGCCAATGCCTTCTGAAACGCTAGTTACTGCATACTTAAGCGCTTTTGTTTAGCACACTGAAATATCAACTTTCCCTCTGTCTACACTATTCTCTCTATTTTGAAACTTATGCTAAGCAAATATTTAGTTTGAACCATATTCCATTCCAACTGATCCATACTTGTGCAGTTGTATTGCCTTGCTTAAAAAATATTCATTATCTGTCTTATCACCTGTGTTTTAAATCCTGTGTCTCATCGTCCGTTTGTTTACAGTGTTTCCTGCGCCACTGCTCTGTATCTTGGATGTATCCCTCGAGTTGTGTTTTTTTAATAACGTTAACCTGTTTTGTGTTGTTCTTGTTCTTGTTTTGTTTAGATTTTTGTGAATTAGTTATTAAGTTTAGGTTATTTATGTGACTTCTTTCTTTATCATTAATGCTGTGTTTGGGTCCATCCCCTGCTGTCATTCGGCAAATGCCACCATGCATTTTGCATCCTTTGCTTAAAATTGGAAATTGACTGTACTTGTATAGCCCTTTTCTAGTTTTACAATCACGCTGTACTATATGTTATCATTCAGGCACTCATACACTGATGGCTGGAACCACCTTATTTATGGCCACCTGCACTATCAGTAAATAAGATTCTTACACCGTGGGCGCCGCTATGGGAATCTCCTGCCCAAGCACACAAACATGCCGAACCGTGGATCCAACCTTTGATTTAAGGACAACCTAGCTCTCCACTAAGCCACTGTCCCCATGTAGACAGGAGGCTACTATTTGAAATGTTCATGAGCCCTCATCCGTGTAGCACAAAGCCTCTTTCATAGCCATGGCAGGTGTGCAAACTACTATTTACTTACTTTGGCACAGAAATCCAGTTGCTTGTTTACAAGCCTCCACAAAGTATAACTCCACACACTAGATAGAATATCAATCCCACAGGTGTCTACATTAAAACGTCTTTCTAATTTTGTGTGTCCATTCATATGTCCGCGTTGCGTGTGTGCGCGCATCTGGACAGAACTTCGCTGTGCGCAATACAGAGAGTGGAGTAAACACGTGAGACAAAAAAATAACGCAAGGTTATTTAGTCTGTATAATGTAAGAACAAGGCATGCCAATTAGTATCAGCAGGAAAAAACATGATCAGGGATCTCAAAGTTATATATTGTCCAATCCCTTTTAGTAGTCCTTATTGACCCAGATATAAAAAATGAATATACTCAGTAAAGACACTGGAAAGAGAAGCAAGTCTTCCCTCCAGTGAACTCATTGGATTCTGTACAGCTGACGACCAGTTGCTTCTCATTCGTGGAGATAATAAACAGTAACAAGCTAAGAGGCCAGATAATGTTGCATCGACTGTTTTACTTAATTATACAATCTGGTGTTAAGATTGTAGCCGGTCTGGAGCTACCACCGTCGGGTTACTTCAAGGACACACGGACACACATTCTCAGCAAAGTGTCTTTTATTTTGTCAGAGGGGGAGAGAGCAAGATTGGGGCCATTCGTTCGTCGGCTCTGCTTAGTTCAGTTCAGTTTGGCTCGGCTCGGCACAGCACAGCACAGTACAGCACCGCTCCGCTCTGATCAGCTCTGCTCTGATCTGCATCTCCCCTCCAGATCCTGCTCACTGTTTTTAACAGGGAGACCATCAGTCCAAATCACATCCACCTGTGTTCCTCACTCACCTGCCGGCACCGTCCCCCGAACCACTCCCCCGCTCTCCCCCCTGCAGCTGAGCGAACCACACCCCGCCACCACAAAGATGTTATCTGTAAAATCCCTGTCCTAGAGGGAACTGGCATCTAAATAAACGTCCTATGGGATCAGCCTAATGTGCAGCAATAAAACTGAACACCGACTAAATGTTGCACTAACTATGGCCTAAATTAGGTATTTAAAAAACCTCCTTCTTAATTCTGTCAATTTTCAATTTACAAGCTATTAGATTACTAGAATTTAGTAATCTGCGAGAGAGATGTGGACAATTGAATTAGCTCCACCAGAGGCTCCCCCCTCTACTGGACACTGTGGGTAATGTTCTATAACCGACTAGCATTCAGCCTCTGAAAGTTATCTTGTGTAGATGGCAAATCTGAAATCGCCAACCCAAAGACATGCAAACCCCCAGAGTATATCAGCCAGGTGCCAAGCTATCTTTTTTCCCCCAGAAAATCCACTGTCTGCCTTCCTCCATATATGTGGCATTGGTTCAAGATTGTCTTCAGTGCCTGTCCTAACCTTATCGCCAGCTTCGGCGTGCCCTTGCAAAGAGCAGTGTTTAGCAGCCTTCAACCTTCAACTGCAGCAGCAGTGCAATCATTTCTGACCCTTATATGTGATGCTATGCTGTGATAAGAGCTCGCCAGAACTTGAGATCAATATCCTGTGGGGCAACGTTTGGCATATTGATCCTTGCCTCATCCAGTCTGAATGTAAATGCAAACATGGTATTTAATTAAAAATACTTAAATCAGTTTTATCAGATTGTTATTAACACTCACTTTTAGTAAGTTACTTGTAATTTGTGATTGGAAAATCTAACCAGCTCAGTCTGCTTGAGCTGGATTCATTTAGAAAAAGTATTCCTGAGTTGGAATGTAGCTAGGTTTACTCAATACTGCACTACTTTAAGTAGTTTTTTTTCATATTACTTTCTACTT